TACAACTTGTGATGGTTCCTACCATTCTAACATGTATGCTGCACTCCAAATGATGTAAGTACAACCTGTGATGGTCCCTACCATTCTAACATGTATGCTGCACTCCAAATGATGTAAGTACAACCTGTGATGGTCCCTACCATTCTAACATTTATGCTGCACTCCAAATGATGTCAGTACAACTTGTGAGGGTCCCTACCATTCTAACATGTATGCTGCACTCCAAATGATGTCAGTACAACTTGTGAGGGTCCCTACCATTCTAACATGTATGCTGCACTCCAAATGATGTCAGTACAACTTGTGAGAGTCCCTACAATTCTAACATGTATGTTGCACTCCAAATGATGTAAGTACAACCTGTGAGGGTCCCTACCATTCTAACATGTATGCTGCACTCCAAATGATGTTAGTACAACCTGTGAGGGTCCCTACCATTTGAACATGTATGCTGCACTCCAAATGATGTAAGTACAACCTGTGAGGGTCCCTACCATTCTAACATGTATGCTGCACTCCAAATGATGTCAGTACAACTTGTGAGGGTCCCTACCATTCTAACATGTATGCTGCACTCCAAATGATGTCAGTACAACCTGTGAGAGTCCCTACCATTCTAACATGTGTGCTGCACTCCAAATGATGTCAGTACAACTTGTGAGGGTCCCTACCATTCTAACATGTATGCTGCACTCCAAATGATGTTAGTACAACCTGTGAGGGTCCCTACCATTTGAACATGTATGCTGCACTCCAAATGATGTAAGTACAACCTGTGAGGGTCCCTACCATTCTACCATGCTTAACATGTATGCTGCACTCCAAATGATGTCAGTACAACTTGTGAGGGTCCCTACCATTCTAACATGTATGCTGCACTCCAAATGATGTCAGTACAACCTGTGAGAGTCCCTACCATTCTAACATGTATGCTGCACTCCAAATGATGTCAGTACAACCTGTGAGAGTCCCTACCATTCTAACATGTATGCTGCACTCCAAATGACGTCAGTACAACTTGTGAGGGTCCCCACCATTCTAACATGTATGCTGCACTCCAAATGATGTCAGTACAACTTGTGAGGGTCACTACCATTCTAACATGTATGCTTCACTCCAAATGATGTCAGTACAAATTGTGAGAGTCCCTACCATTCTAACATGTATGCTGCACTCCAAATGATGTCAGTACAACTTGTGAGGGTCTTGCATATTGGTAGAACTGAACCAGGTAGGTCAGCCCTGACTGTTAGAGTGAGTATGGTTTTACACCGCTTTCAGCGCGTTGCGGGGGATGAAACTGTCTATTGATTTCTTCTCCCTACTGTGTCCACAATGAACACAACAAAATGGAAACTGTTTCAGTCTATCCCCAGCCAAGTGGATGGTATGTCTACTTTACTACCCGATGGTTGTGATAAAACCATCCTGCAAGATCACTTTCCACTGCAACCTGCATTATTTCAGCAGAATCATGATGCCCTGTACATCACTGAGGCAGGGATGGGTGAACCAATGCTTGACTGCAGGAGCACCATGTGCTGTTCTCATAACAAGACTCACAATCTGTCAGGACCTCAATTGTCACAAGCAGACCTTTCCTGCCCTAATCCCATAGGTAATGTGGGCAAAATCAATTTATTTCTAAACCCAGTAAAACTGATTGTAAGTGGTGTAACTAAAAGCCAGTGGTAGCCATGCACTGAATCGGGTTTAATGAGCGGGTGAGTTTAGCTTTTACGCCGCTTTTAGCAATATTCCAGCCATATCACGGCAGGGGACACCAGAAAAAGGGCTTCACACATTGTACTCATGTGGGGAATCAAACCCAGGTATTCAGCGTGCTGAGCGGACGCTTTAACCACTAGGCTACCCCATTGCCTGAATCAGGTTTTATGAGCATGATCAAGTCATGCAATATGACCTCAGTCAACCATCCAGGTTCAACATGGTGGCCACAATATCAGCATGAAACTGGCATCAACACAAAGCAACAATCACAGAAGTGAAGACAGAAACCAAGATTGATCTTTGAGACATTTATTGAGTGAAAGTTAAACCTCTGTACCAGTAAACATGAACAATATGGAGCTGCCTTTGAAGAACGACAAGTATTCCTGGATGAAACACCTCATCCCTGTCAAGAATGACAATGAAATATTAGCATACAACACAGGTACATGAGTCAGAACAATGTAAATGATGCACATCAATGAATCATAGTTGCACAGAGCGTACTGTACTCTGTGGCCCGAGCAATTCATGGCAAGGTTCTAGTACAAGAAATCTAGGCCTTACATTTATTAAACATAAAATTCTAATATGGATGCATATATTTTCTTATCAGTCAAGCGATCTAGAATTTAACGTCTTGATGCAAATCATGTAGTGTGACTTTTCCGGATAATGACCAGGATTTAGGATAAAATATAACATAATTAAAAAAATTGTTTGAATTGTTTTTTTGGTGTCAGATTTTCTAAAATTGAAAAACAAATATATATAGATAATTATTGACACTGGTGGTTGGGAAAAGCAATATACATGGATGTCAACTTCTTTATTGTGAATAACACATTGTTTCGGAGCGTATGCTTGCTCCTTCATCAGGTGACACATTTTTGCTTTTCTTATGCATTCCACTTCAAAATGTCCTTCCAATTGACAACGGAGATTGTCTATAAAAGAGCAATGTATTTGCTTCTTCCTTTCTGGGAACTTAAATGTTTGATTCCTTGACCCCAAAAATCCACCAAAATTGCATGTTTTGAAACAATGACCAAAAGAACACACGAAAATGTATGTTTGGAAACTATGACTAAAATTATCAAAACTGTCTCAAAACCAAGACCCCCCAAAGTTCCCTCCAATCCAGAAGTACTAAACAGCCGTGCCAGATGTGCCCACAAAGGCAATTCTACAGATGTGCTTACAGGGACGAGACTGAAACAATGACTGTCAGACAGGTACCCAACACATGCACAGGTTATCAAAGTTCCATGGACATGTTTAAAAAAAAATAGAAGAAAAATAAAATTGAAAATAATCTGAGCAAGATTTTGTTTGGTCAAGTACATAAACAGAACCTTAAAGTTGTTATCATAAATGGAATATCAGTTGAGGGAACACCATGGAACTTTGATACCTATCTTGCTACCCTGACCCCAAATAATAATCTCACACCAACAATCATATAAATGTAAACATGCCATTTGTAGATGTAAATATTAAAGATGATAATTACATTATGAATTAGTGCAATATTCAGGCAGTTAGCCTGTGCTAGAGACAAATGACTGGATCGAACATACGTTTTATTTTGGGACTAATATAAACAGTCCCATCTTAATTTTTTTATTGTTAAATAATAAATAATAAAAATACCAGTCACCAGCAACAAGACAATGTTGCAATAGTACTACATGCTAGGTTAAGAACTGCTCTTTGGCTAAAGGGAAGTAGACTTGATAGTTTTGGGTCTATAGAACAAATGGTCTTCAATCATTGGAGCCTGATTGTGTGCAATACTGTCAAATATCTTGTATACTGATGGAGAGAAATATCAGGTACGCTAATAATGACAACATGAGGAATTGATTTTGACAAGTTACTTTCACGATGGTCAGAATTAGCTCCGGTATTTTGACACAGATTGAAACAAAGTTAAACCTTATTAATCCAGACAGTAGAGAACTCCATTCTAGGGTGCAGATTAAAGAATAATAGACTTAAGTTTCTTGGGATATAAATTGGTTCTACCAAGAAGATCTACTGAGGGCAGGAATTCCGACCAAAAAGGTGTTTGCCCTCATAAGGATCTCCAGAACATGGTAATTGGCTTAACAAGGTTTTCAGTCAAACAAGGTTTCAATTTTAACAAGTTTCCAGTCTGTTGAATACTGGACCCTTATTTCTCTCCATGAGTATATGATTCAGATTACAATAAAAAGATATAGGATCCCCCAAAACAAATTGTAAAATTATTTACAAATCAGATTATCTAGCCGCATCAGCCAACAGAAAACCTTGAGCCTGATCACTCAACATTCACAAAATATAGGATTGTCCATTCATACTGCACCTGGCAATTCTAACCTACTGCTGCCTTACTCATCAAAAACTGATGACACCTTGACTATCAAAACCAAACTCTGAAAAGCCAGAATCTAGCACCATAACCCTGCTTGGTTGAAATGATTTCCACTTTTGTTCTCACCTTGGCATGAAAATCTTTATACAATAAATACATGTGAAAGATTCATCATTATGAAGAAGGTGATATTGAAACTGAAAGAATAAAGTAGTTGTATACTGATGCAGTGTAAACCACCAATTTTATGCAATTAGGCCAGGACAGTTTTATTTCATGTTTTACAGGTCATTAGTGAACAATCTTACAAAATAATATAAACAAATTGGTCAAAGAAATAACTGCATTGTTATTTCGACATTCCGAAGGGTTAATTCCTCAACTCAGCAATCACTTTATCTAAAGCAATGGAGACTAATTTCTCCCAAAAAACATAACCCCAAAAAGTCAACTTAATTATCGATAAGACCAGACCATTTTTATTTCTTGTTTTATGGATTTTTGTCCTCAGAAAGCCTAAAGGCAGGAGGTAAAAAATAAAATAAAACAAATCACCAGTCAAAGCAAATACCCACATGAGTTTCCATGTTAAATCTTTTGGTTTGTTTATATCAACTAAAAATAAGTTGAGGGAGTTTAGGTTTCACACTGATTTCAAGAGTATTTCACTTGTATCAAATTGACATTAGGATTTTAGTTTTATAGCAGGGAAAATTGATTTTTATATTTGTTCTTATTCTTGCAAAGATAAGACCAGCAGATCCTTAAAACAAGAAATATAATTGGTCCGGTCTAAGCAATAGTTAAAACAGGCACGATGCAATCATATATTTAGTAGTTGATTTCAATTGTATTAAAACACCCTGTCTTCAGGTAATTAATGGGATATTGTGAAAAACAAGGAATAAAATTGGCCTGTATAATGATTGTGGTAATAATAAAAAGGGTAGAAGGAAATGGCTGGATGTGTAGGATCATATCCTCGGAGACGTGACGTACAGAGCATGGCACACAGGACACAGTGTTACAGGGCAATAAGGCCACACTGATACAGCAACACATCCATACAGTTATTAATCTAGTAATGCTTTCAGGAATCAGTCTTGGAACAATATGTATCACAAAATACTATGATTAATATGAACACTTTCTCACCATAAAATACCATCATTAAGTACTCTTTACAAAAGACATAATGAAAGGGGTCTGGACGTCATTTCCAACCCTTGTCAAGATGTACAAATACATAGGACGTCACTGAAAAATACACAATATCTTAAAGATATTTTTTCAAGATTATAAGATGGGGAACAGATTTCATGTGGAAAATCTTCACAATATTTCTTCAGAACAACCATAATTAATATATTCAAATTTCATTCAAGATTTCAGTAAGTACATCTTTTTCCTGAGATAATTTGTAAACAGTTATTCCTTGGATAACCCTGTGGGTTGTACTACTCAGATCTCGTTGCTAGGCCTTATCAGTTATGCCAGGCCTCATTTCGAACAGTGTCCAAAGACTCCTAACTGACTGTATGTTAAACAATGCATTCTGAAATAGTCCGGTAGTATTGAATGAGTGAGTGAGTGAGTTACATTATAGGAGGCTTTCAGCAACATCATGGCGGTGGACACCAGAAATGGGCTTCACACATTGTACCCATGTGGGGAATCGAACCGGGTCTTCAGCGTGTACTGTAAAGTGGGACTGAAGACATTAAATGCTTCAAGCACAACACACCCTAAGTCCCTTCTTTTGTCAATTGTAATCTATATCACAATAGTTTAACACACTGATTACAGACATAACTGAGATCTCTTTGTAGAATAGGGGCTGGTATTGACGTGGGAAGTATTGTATTAAGCTTAGACACTGCGAGAGCATCAAGGATGGAAGAACAACAATTCTTGTGGTGGTATTATATATGAACTTTGGTTGTGAGACAACATTTGTACAGACACACTGATATTCGATGTCAGTTGTACGTAATACTGTATCACCAGTAGCAAAATACATCTGTAAAAATATTTCGATAAAACGAAAATACGACAGAAGGAATCTGAAGATTCACTGAAGCATCACGATCATTTGTGGCAATCCAATAATTTCCCTACTGCACATTCACGTTGAATTTCTCACACAGGCTACACTAAGATGGAAGGTGAATGTTTGAGCTGAGCGATACAGAGCGATACAGAGCCTCCTCTGCAAGATGAAATGTCGGAAGGTGACAACAGCGTGTTGACGTGTATGAGATGTATGGCACGGTGCGCTGATGGTGGCGTGACGGCAGTTGCTACATGTCGTGGTCGGCCACACTCTGGTGTAGGTACTCCTGGTATAGTGTTTGCTGCAACAAAACCATCCACGGTGAGATACTTACTTCACTACATACACAAACATCATCCAGGGAGTTAAGACAAGTCATTTGTCAAAATTAACTAATTAGTCATTTGTCCACCAATGAAGGTGCAGGTTAGAATTGGTCTTCAGCAACCCATGCTTGTCGTAAGACGCGACTAACGGGATCGGGTGGTCAGGCTCGCTGACTTGGTTGACACATGTCATCGCTTCCCAATTGCGCAGGTTGATGCTCATGCTGTTGATCACTGGATTGTCTGGTCCAGACTCAGTTATTTACAGACCGCCACCATATAGCTGGAATATTGCTCAGTGCGGCGGAAAACTAAACTCACTCACTCAGTCATTTGTCAACATTAACATAAGCAAAAGTAAGGGGTACTTTGTTATAAATTCATAACATAACGCTTTTTGTGTCTCATGAATAACATGCTCATGGAAACGAATAAGGGAACACATGAAAGTACAAGTGTTCCTGTATTTTTCCAGGTTTCTTCAGGGTGAAATTCTGGAAATAAAGAACACTTGTACTTTCATGTGTTCCCTTACTTGTTTCCAAGAGTATAGGAATGTCACAAAGCAATATCCCCCATTGTGACCATCCAATCAACAGTTGAGTCACATCTCTGTCAGCTCTTACAACAGCTCGACACACAATGGACACACTGGACCAGGAATCTTTGTGGTGTCAGATTCATATCTCTGTCAGCACGACACACAATGAACACACTGGGCCAGGAAACTTTCTGGTGTTAGATTCATATCTTAGTCAGCTCTTACAACAGATTAAACCTGACAACTTCACACTGATGACAAAACTAACATAATGGGACAGGAATATCCAGCAATGAGATTGGAATTACCTTCTTGGATTTGACGGTGCTCTGTACATACTCTCGGATCTCCAGAAGATTTCTCTTCTGCTTCCTACTAAGAGTCGTCTTGGTCCTGCAAAGACAAAAACATGAACACTGAAGAGTTTGACATACTATGAAAATATAACTAATTTGGATGACAGATGACTTTCTAGGATCATACTCAAGCTGATGGGAGAGTGGTTACAGACATATCACAACACACTTCTCTAAAAATATATAATACATTTCTCTCAATAATACTATCAGCCCTCAGGGAAGATGCCATATAATTTATTCTAAAAAAATTTATGCATTTAGATTACAATATTAAATCAAAATGTTCCAATGAATTAATGCAACATTGCATTAAATTGACTCTTGCGCTTTCTGCCAGACAAACATTATTTCAAGCGAACCTCAGAGTTATGTCCTTTGGAGCGCTTTTTATGAATATCCTATGCACAACTTGTGATTGAAACCAATTTGGCAAACATCGACAACACCGCATGCGACAGTTTTTGAGTTAACGGAGCAATTGTTTACATTCCATATATGGCAAGTGTTCTCTGTTTGGAAGCTGTTCACCTCAAAGTTTCAACTATCGATTTCATTCAGGCAAGTCGTTAGGGATAAGAAGTCTTTTATTGCATCAATAGGAGTGAGTGAGTGAGTGAGAATGGTTTTTTACGCTTTTAGAAATATTCCAGCAATATCACGGCAGGGGACACCAGAAATGGACTTCACACGCATCAATAGGAAGCTAAAGTGAGTGCATCTGTCCCAATATATATAATACAGGCTAAAATGTTGTGGAAAATGTGTGACATTGTGCCTTTAACAGGTGGCCCGGTGTTGATGGGAGAGTGTTACCACAGACTGACCTGGAGGAGAACTTGGCCAGCAGCAGCAGTAACAGTGCCAGCGCCAGGATCCCGATGATGACGTAGTTGGTGTAATCCTTGGGGACAGACTTCCACAGCTGAGACAGGGGGCCCTGGAACACAACATCAAGGCCACATTGTACATCAAGGCTTGCGATGCTTTGTGCTGCCCTGTGATCCAGAACGTTGTCATCAGTTGCTTTATTTTACCATGACTGGGATCAACATTGTGGACAAGTGTATCTGAGGGAGGTTCATGTTTCAGACAAGTGAACATACATGAGTGATCCCAGTCTAAACTGAGCAAAACTTTCAGTAATGAAACAAACATAGGCAAACAAAACTTTCAAATCAAGATATAACTTCAGTTCAGACCTTCAAGACTCTATAGTCTGTTTGCAGTGAAAAGGTACCGATGAATTTCACTTTAAACAAAGAAGTAAATCAAATAAAGTGAAATTAAGATTGCGAATCCTCATAATTTTACCTTGCCAATTAACCATTTAAATCTCAGAATTTTATTCATCTTGGGATAGAAGTTGTTTTACAAACGATCATAGATTCAAATCGCTATTATTGGTTTGTATTACAAGGGGGTTAGCACAGTAGTTGGAACAGTGAAACAAATGCACGTGTGGTACGTGGTGAGCGTTAACTTAGACCAAACCTACTTGTTCTCGGTGTTTCATTTAATGTACATACCCCCTTGTAATACAAACCAATAATAGCGAGGTGAAACTAAGATCGTTTGTTAAACAACTTTTATCCTAAGTTGAATAAAATTCTGAGATTTAAATGGTCAATTGGCAAGGTAAAATTATGAGGATTCATAATCTTAATTTAAATTTATTTGATTTACTTTTTTGTTTGAAGTGAAATTTATTGGTACATTTTCACTGCAAACAGACTATAGAAGAATATCATAAATAAACAGAAATGGAAAGGTCAAACACTGCTGTCAGAGCTGTAGGACCTACGTAAATACTTTAAGAGTTATCCAAGAGTTCCACACAATGATGACTAAATAACAAATACACCAGAACCACTGTTTCATTTCAAGACAACCGAAAGATTGACACAAAGTTCGACAACAGTGTCTTGTCTGACTGTTCTTATCAAATATCACATATCTCGGACTAGTCTGTGTTTATATCAATCTGTGACCAGAAAACACATGACCACACACATCTGTTACAAGGGAGTTACAAGAGTAAATACTGTCATCCACCCAACCTACACGACGCCAACTTTGTGGTACTTTGATATCATTTTATCATATTCCATCCATACCAGTTAGGCAGGAGACCCGGTTAGCAGTAAGCACAGTGAGACAATCAGCTACATTCATTCCGTTCTGACAATGGATCAACTCCACCAACTCCCTCTGGACCAAACCATGAACAAGTGCTCGCAAATCTACAATCATTCTAGTCACAGCCAATGATAGATCTCTTCTTCACTCACCAGATATGTTGCCATGGTGACAACAAGGCTCTCCCCCCAGGAACTGACTGAGGGTCTTCGGTGAGGTGCTGATGAGGAACGTCGCCAGCAGCAACAGAGGCATCAACATCCCAAAGAGACTGAAGCAGAATCCTCGCACCCTCGCTCGCATGTTATCTGACCTCTTCACACTGATGACAAAAACATACCATACTGATGTACACGTGAAGATCTGGGTTAGAATTGGTCGTCAGCAACCCATGCTAGTAATAAGAGGCGACTAACGGGATTGGGAGGTCAGGCTCGCTGACTTGGTTGACACGTCATCGTATCCCAGTTCTGAAAATCCATGCCCATGCTGTTAACACTGGATTGTCTGGTCAAGACTCGATTATAAACAGGTCACCATCAGACTGTCTTTGTCAATACAACTCGCTAATAACTCAAGTTTGTGGGAAGCTTGTTTAGATGCAGAGACAGTGAGATGGTTGTAAGAGTGAGTGAGTTTAGTTTTATGCCACACTCAGCAATATCCTAGCTATATGGCGGCGGCGGTCTGTAAATAATCAAGTCAACCAGTAATTGACCAGAGAATCCAGTGATCTACGCATTTGGGATACGATGACATGTGTCAACCGAGTCAGCGAGCCTCACCACCTGTCCAGTTAGTCGCCTCTTACAACAAGCATGGGTGGCTGAAGATCCATTCTACTCCGGATCTTGACGGGGAGATGGTTGTGAGAGGACTGATATCTAGTGTAGATGGTTACTCAGTATGTCAATCATGGAATATATTCCTGACAATCAAACTGGATAAGTGTTGACAGAAGCATCATCAAACAGCTTCCATGTTCCTCTCACCTGTCGTCTTGGAGCTTTTCCTCCACAATCTTAGCTATTTGGTCACAGTCTCTCTCCAGAGCGTTGAGTGTGTTCTGTATGGTCTGGTTGATGGTCTTCTCAACCTCCTTACACACTTCCTCGATCTGGTTGGCACAACGACTAGTCTGCAACACACCACATGCTAGTCTGAGTGACTGAATCACCATAGGAATTGCCTTCAACCATTCAACCTCACGAACGACAAGAGAATAAAATAATTCACTCACTGGACTAGCTTAACAAATATACCAGGTTTCTCAGAAAATCATTTGTAAGTCCAACAAATACGATACTAAATCCAGCCAGACCTGCAGATGTCCAAGTAAAAAAATTCCATCCTTAGGCCAGACCAATTTTATTTCTTGTTTTACGGATCTGGTGGTCATATTTTCTCAAGAATAATAAAAACAAATTATTTTCCTCGCTCAAAAAATATAATCCTCATGTTTTTATTGGCCAATAGTGTAAACTTATCAAAAAAATGTTTTGATTGTTTTTGCCCCAGATAAACTAAATAAATCACCAAAAATAATAAATACTTTTAGTATTTATAAGGAAAATTATTTTGACTAGGGAATTTTAGTTTTTAGTTTTTTCCCTCCTGCCTTTAGGTTTTCTGAGGACAAAAATCAGTAAAACAAGAAATAAAATTGGTTTGGCCTTATAGCAAATACATTATTCATTGAAAACTATTGTCACACTATTGTCAAACAGAAACTGGAAGCTATTGGCAATAGAGTAAATGAGACATTTTGATTGTTAAAAACAGAACAATTTTGAAATAGTTCTTTAAACATATTCCATCTATATAAAATTGAAAATAAAAGACATTTAAAATTAGCCCCATAATAACATATGTGACAAACAATCAAATAATGCAACTCTGACCATATGTTTGCATGTCTGAAAAAAGAATTCAAGAAATTGCAATTATCTCCCCTTGATCAAGCTGTGCCCAACTGAAGTTGTGTCATTAAGCCTGAATGTCTTCACCTCCACGTCATAGCATTAAAAACCTGAATACAATTTTGTATTATAAGAAACTCATTCTGCCAAATTCATTCAAAGTATAAAGTGGATGCTAGCCATAAATCAACATCTTATTCCCCTCTTTATCTACCAGTCCATAGATTCCCATAGGGATGGCTGCATGAATGTAACTTACACCAATGAATGTAATCATTTACACCAATGAAATATTCCAGATATTCACCTGGGTATTCAAACCAAATCCCTTCATTAGTTCTGTTCATTATTTGTGGTCACTAGAATTTAGGTAAATAATCTTGTCAATAGTCTGTGTGCAGGGAAAACATACCGATGAATTTCACTTTAAACAAAATAGTGAATCGAATAAAGTGAAATTAAGATTGCAAATCCTCATAATTTTACCTTGCCAATTGAACATTTAAATCTCAGAATTTTATTCAACTTAGGATAAAAATTGTTTAACAAACGATCATAGATTCAAATCGCTATTATTGGTTTGTATTACAAGGGGGTAAGAGCAGTAGTTGGAACAGTAAAAGAAATGCATGTGCAGTATGTGATGAACGTTAACTTAAACCAACCCTACTTGTTCTCGGTGTTTCATTTAATGTCCTTACCCCTTTGTAAGACTATAGTGATGTTTAATCGCAAATTTGACGTCTTTACTGACAAAGTTGTCTTCTGTTGTTTGTTCATGCAAAGTGATACGATGTTGTTTTCTTACCCCGGGAAAAAGTTTGATGAAAGTGTAACTAATAGATAAGCCGACCCCCTTCTACAGACTGCTTTTTTTTATCTTCAGAATTCGGCTAATAGACGGTAGTATACGGTACTTGTAACTAGTCTATTCATCAAAGTGAGATATGGAAAATGGAATATGTATACAGCCATACAACAGTGCAAGGAGTCATTTTTCCAAGGCCCCTTATAAGCACCACTGTCGGATGCATTGATTGCTTTTGTGAATGATAAATACATCATTGAAATGTTTCATCTTTAGCAATTACATGACATGTTTTTTATTTTAATTTTTTGAATTTAAACAAAGAAATCCTGAATAAATATTCATATGAGCTACCCTATATTCGTGAAATTAATGTATTTGCCTCACACTGTATTAACTGCAGATCTACAGATTAGTCTGATGTGAAGCTTGGAGCACAGGGGACCTGCTCTACCCAGGGTTCCCTGTCAGACTGAGCTCTGTCTCACCTTCTGGTTCAAGGAGGGGATGTAGATGGTGGGCATATCGAAGCCAGTGCGGTTCAGACCTGGCCGCTTACACAGCTCCTGGACGATCTGCATCATCACGCGCTACAACAGGAAGCATTCACATCAAGCTCTACAACAAATGTATGTGTTCGGCTGAATAAACATTATTCTACAGGAACATGGCAAATACTGTTGAAGTACCCCCAGTTGATGACGTCAGCCAGAAGAACCAGTACAAGATACATGTAGCAGAGGGGTCAGTGATGGAGTGTGGTAACTACACTGTAGAGGTATTGTGTTCAAGTTGGGGGACAAGTAAGGGTTAGAAATTGTTATTTTTACAGTGTGCACACAGACATTAGTGTTGGGAAGTGGTTAAAATCTCATAATTGATGATTTGTTCATTACAACCGATCAATCATCGAAAATAATTGGTTAGCGTCTTTTATCAAATTTTCCTGGTTATGTTTGTTAATGCACAGGAAATGTCTTTTAGTCTTTGCTCTTCAAATGTAACAGACAAAACCAACCAATCTTCGATTGTTTTTTCAATTAATCGGATCACCACTAGTAGACATACATATAAGTTGCATTTTTCAAATAATCAGTTGCCCTTGTGCATATTTTATCTAGCTTATACCAAGCCCTGTATATGCTCTGGAGTGAGCGAGTGAGTGAGTATGGTTTTACGCCACTTTTAGCAATATTCCAGCAACATCACGCGCGTGGGGACAACAGAAATGGGCTTCATACATTGTAGATGTAGATCTTGCGACTAACCCAGGAAGAAAAGGATCACCACTATAATATTTTCAGGTCATTAGAACTACAATCCAAATCAACTACACTAATTTCAACCTGACTTCTCATCATGGGCAGACCCAAATGGAGTCAGCAAGCACCACAAGTGATACAAGTGAGTGAGTATGGTTTTACACCACTTTTAGCAATATTCCAGCAATATCACAGCGGGGGACACCAGAAATGGGCTTCACACATTGTAACCATGTGCAGAATCGAACCAAGGCCTTCGGCGTAACGAGCACACGCTTTAACCACTAGGCTACCCAACCGCCCCTATATGCTCTGGAGTTTGCAAGGGTGTGGACATCAAACACAACACAATGACTTGTATCCAGCATTTACACAGCTAATGTTCTGTAGTAACCTTGATGAACAGGATGAAATAAGACAACAACATGAGCTGGACAATGGATGATAATTATTACACCAATCAACCAACTTGAGTATGGTTTTATGCCACTTTTTGCAATATTCCAGCAATATCATGGCAGGGACATCAGAAATGGCCTTCACACATTGTACCCATGTGGGGAATAGAACTCGGGTCTTAGGCGTGATGAGCGAACACTTTAACCACTAAGTTATTGAGATCTAACATGGGATCCCACAGGCCAGACCTGCCCCCTACTAACCTGTCTGTCACTCTCGTGTCCAGCATCGTCAGCCTTGCTGAGGTAGAACTTCATCCTGTCTGCATGTTTCTCATTCAGCTTCTCCACGATGTTCAGAGTTCGCTTGCATAGAGCCTGACCAATTGGGTCGAAGAACACAAAGATCAGATCTGCCAGGTCACCTGTTGGTTACAAACGATATGCATTCACAACCACCATCTAATCCCTAGTTGATCACCATCCACCATCCAGTACCCAGTTGACCACCAACATCCATCCAATCCCCAGTTGACCACCAACCAATCCCCAGTTGACCACCAACCAATCCCCAGTTGACCACCAACCAATCTCCAGTTGACCACCAACCAATCCCCAATTGACCACCAACCTCCATCCAATCCCCAGTTGACTACCAACCACCATCCAATCCCCAGTTGACTACCAACCACCATCCAATCCCCAGTTGACCACCAACCACTATCCAATCCCCAGTTGACCACCAACCTCCATCCTGTCCACAGTTGACCACAACCACCATCCAATCCCCTGTTGACCACCAACCACCATCCAATCACCAGTTGACCACCATCCAATCCCCAGTTGAGCTCCAACCACTATCCAATCCCCTGTTGACAACCAACCACCATCCAATCCCCAGCTGTCCACCAACCACCATCCAATCCCCAGCTGACCACCATCCAATCCCCATTTGAGCACCAACCACCATCCAACATCCAATCCCCAGTTGACCAGCAACCACCATCCAACATCCAATCCCCAGTTGACTAGCAACCACCACCCAATCCCCATTTGACCAGCAACCACCATCCAATCCCCAGTTCAGTTCCCTTTCCATAAGCAAATAGGAGTCTTCACAACATATGAATGAAGACCCTTGTCAAGAATCATCAAGTTGAGATACCCAGTACCTACCTAACCAGAGGATGGACTTGTTCACATCGAAGGGGTACTTCATGTCCCCATCAACAAGACCAGGAGTGTCCACAAATGTAACAAGGCTGAATTTCTTCTGTTTTGATGTGGAGATTTCTGTTGTCAGGTAATCGATGACTCCTAAAAAAATAATATAAAAATATGACAATCTCAACACCAATAATTGTTATTCTTTCAGCTTTAGGAAACACTGGAACACTGTCATCAAATAAATGAAAAGCAAAAATTATTGTTCCATTCATCTGTAATTTCAAAAATGCAAAAGGGACAGACTTAACTCACTGGCCTGACCATAAGTCATCATGTTTTTGTCGGTCTGTGCTTTCCTGTGTACAGTGTGCATTTTAAGAATAATTGCACACACACCATTCTTCTTTACACATTTTGGGACAATTGCTTTTTCGTATACTGAGTGAGTTTAGTTTTTCGTCGCTATTAGCAATATTCCAGCAATGTCATGGCTGGGGACACCACAAATGGTCTTCACATTTTGTACTCATGTGGGGAATCGAACCTGGATATACGGTGTCACGAGGGAATGCTTTAACCACTAGGCTACCCCACCGCCCCTCGTATACAGTGAACCCGTGAAGGTTCGGGTTAGAATTGATCTTCAGTTACCCATGCTTGTCGTAAGAGGCGACTAACAGGATCAGGTGGTCAGGCTCGCTGACTTGGCTGACACGTCATCGCTTCCCAATTGCGCAGATCAATGCTCATGCTGTTGATCACTGGATTGTCTGGTCCAGACTCGATAATTTAAAGACCGCCACCATAAAGCTGGAATATTGCTGAGTGTGGCGTAAAACTAAACTCACTCACTTGTATACTGTGAACAGTACTATTTACTGTATATATACCGTAATAAAACATAACTATGTTCACACTCTAGCATGCTGTTGTAGCCACTTCAACATATTGTTTGCACTGAGAAATCTGAGATCACCTGCAAATCTATTTTCCCACTTTTTTTGGCCCTCAAATAATGTTGAAAAAGAGAGAAACCATTTCTACTTGCAGGTTTTGGAATGACAGATATTTGTTGGGGCCTGTAGCATTCACCCTCAATAAACAATGCTGCTGCTGTATAACTTAACTAATGCCATCATCCCGGACTCCTAAAAGAACCCCTAAGAACACAAAGATTAACGGCTGGGGTTTTGCTTACAAAGAAAACAATTCTCAGGAATGAGAAATTTCCCCAAAATTTAAAACAACAGCTCCCATAATGTTGTGTCCACATTCATTAAAACTGTGTAATAGTCCCATTTATGACAAGACAATTCACAAGTCATGTCCTAACTCACATCATCTCCAACACACCATATCTCCCCGAAGTCTGCCCTTAGAAACATCACAATACAATACATCCAGATCACACCAGTCAAACACACTGGTCAATGGCCTGTCGTACCACCCCAACTTATTGAACTTATTAAACCGGTATGAATACCAATAAACATTTCATTACACCATATGAGGGTTGGGCTTGCATAGCGACATGAGTTGATCTTCACATTAAAGCTCAAGAGACTTCCGAGACATGCTGTGTCTAGGAACAATGGTGTCTCCTTTTTGACCTGCCCGTCACCTGCAGAGGCCAGGGAGCAGACGGCATTGACAGGACATGGGGCAAGACCTGGATCCCGGATGGAATTACCGTAACAATGTGACCAAAGAAATTACAGCTTGGAGTCAATAACAAATGAATGTTGTCACAGTTAGATAGGAGATGCTGCAGTCATGTGAGATAATGGTGAAATAGGTGGTTTGTCTTGAAGACAGGAATGTGTGGCTGACAAGCAATATTGGATTTCTATTTGTTAAAACACTCATGAATATTCGGTCTTACATAATAGTAATACTGTAAAACGAGTAACTTCTGAGATAAAACATCTGGCAACTCAAAGGTATGCTGCTAAAATGTTTATGCTCGTTTCTTGCTTCAAGTAGTGAATATTTCCCTTAATATTGAGTAATTTTGTACAAAAAGGGACCATAGTTTACTGACAAACTCTAGCAACGTATCAAAACATATTTTGGTGATGGTAGTGAGTGGTTTATGTTCTGCAGCTTTTAGCAATATTCCAGCAGTATCAAGGCAGGGGACATCCAAAATGGGATTCACACATTGTTCCTATATAGGGAAAATCAAACCTGGTCCTTCTGAGTAATGAGCGAACACCTGAACCACTAGGCTAGCACACCGCCGCGGTGACAGCAGTGAAAACTTGACAAACTATTATGGTGAAGAAGTAATGCTTTCCCTGTCCTGAACTGAACACACACACTTAGCCTTCTGAACAATAAAGACATTCAGCTAGCAGCCAGAACAACCAGTAAGCCATCTAGAACCGAACACGCTTTCAACCCTCCCAAACAGAACATCCACATACTGCAACCAGTTAGTCATCCCAAACTGAGCAACCAGTTAGTCATCCCAAACTGAGCAGCCAGTTAGCCGGAAAAAACTGAGCAGCCAGTTAGTCATCCCAAACTGAGCAGCCAGTTAGCCGGGATAAACTGAGCAGCCAGTTAGTCATCCCAAACTGAGCAGCCAGTTAGCCATCCCAAACTGAGCAACCAGTTAGTCATCCCAAACTGAGCAACCAGTAAGCCATCCCAAACTGAGCAACCAGTTAGCCATCCCAAACTGAGCAACCAGTTAGCAATCCCAAACTGAGCAACCAGTTAGCCATCCAAAACTGAGCAACCAGTTAGCCATCCCAAACTGAGCAACCAGTAAGCCATCCCAAACTGAGCAACCAGTTAGCCATCCCAAACTGAGCAACCAGTAAGCCATCCCGACAGAGCAACCAGTTAGCCATCAAGAACAAAACACCAAGTTGGCCCTCCAGAACAAACACCCAGTCAGAGCAACCAGTTAGCAGACCCAAACAGGATAATTGGTCTGTTGTCCCAAAATGGACAACCAGTTACCTTCCGGAACAGACACCCAATTAACAGTTTTCAACTGGACACCCATTTAGCCTTCTTGAACTAACGAAAATCAGTTGGCGATCCCTTCTGTGATGATGTTACCACCAACCACAGCCCTTCATTTGGCAGCTCTTGGTGTGTCAAGACAGCTGACCAAAGGAAGAGCGATGGCGGGCAGTCATGAATGCAGAAGGAATCAGCTATTGGCCAATATCAGCAGCATGGGTTGCAATGATTCCCCCACAAAGAAGACTCTTTCAGCCATTTATTTCTGTAAATGTGACATTGGTTTAAAGATGCCAGTAAAGCAGGCGATGACAGTCAAATCTGAACTTAAACTAAAGTTTGCAGACACCACTTATAGATACCACATCCCTACTTGTCTTCCAGGCACCACACTGATCCACTAGCACTTGAAATACTTGGAAACAATTACCTGTCTTCACACTTTCAACAACAAAATTGTTCATGGCACATGCTGGACATTCAGAAATATGATTTTTTGGTTGTTCCTTTCACAAAAGAAATTGCATATACATGTATTGAAGGCCTGACAGGAATAACAATACCACAAATAAACAAGCAAAAAGATTCTGAACTTGTCACCACACAAGAGTTAAAACGAAAGAGACGTCTTCCCAATGAATCCAGTCTGTGGTATCAGTTGTCTCCCTTTGCAAAAAGTTACATCAAGAGTAACATACCTTTGCTGTTCTTTCCTACCAGCAGAACAGCTCTTCATCAGGCAGCTTGAGTGGACTACAAGGCTACCTCATGACGAGCCGGCTGCTGGCAGGCCATGTCTACACGACGACAGGGAGCAAGTGTATCAGTGAGCTACTTCAGTACCAAAGAAACAAATTTCAAACATGCTTGCTTTAAAAGGTTACACATGAGCCATGATATTCATAAATGGAAACAGAAGATAAAGTCTGCACATTAAAACGCAAAGATGAACAAAGTAAAATAAATCATGGACGTTACACAACTGACAATGCTAAAAATATGAAAAAAATGAAAGACTTTCATTACCAGAAAGATAACATTTAAACTCAATCTCTTTAAGAGCTGTCAAGGACTGAAGAATAATGACTGACTCAACAGACAGAGGCAAAAAATCCTGTAATAAAAGTCTTCAGCCAGTTAAACAGTGGTATTTATGTATGGCGTATGTAATAACAAATATAATTTTTACTGTATGGCATACAATTCAGCTTAAAATAACCCTATATGTGAACTACAAAAACCAAAGTAGCACAAATTAGATTTACAGCCTACCACTGTGTGCAAATCCTTCAAGTTATCTTCTTTTATTGGTTCATCATTTTGCTGAACTCCTTTCATATCAGCTACCATTTGGTTAACAGAACAATGAATAATAAACTTAATCAAACTTTGTCTAGACATCCACAGAATGAAGCCAGCAATTGACTTGTTTGATTTCAGAAGTATTCATTCACAAAAAGGTGTGTGGCTTACGTCAGCAACAGTCGCACCCAACTGGGAAGATACTGGCTGGATGCCATCACAATGCCTCTCTCTGTCCTTCCCAATCAGGTTCACCTGTGGGGTCAGGTTCGAGGAAACCATGACTCAGCAAATTCACGGCATACCTTCACAGCTGACACACAGAGGAGGTATGAGCATGTGTACCTTGGAAACACTGCTTGTGAATTTGGCTGGAAAAACAAATATTCCATAATTGAAACTACCCACTAGCATTCTGATATCACTGAACTTCAAATGGTGTGAAAAAAACAACAATGGTCAGTAAACATGTTGGTTTGAACAATTCCCCACTGGTGCACCATCTACACACTTGTAAATGGCGTTGGCATGTTAACTGTGTGATGCAAAAACAGATTATAACATCACCCTGACAACAATGAAATGAAACTGGAAGACGAGGTATTCCTGTCAGTGATCCTGGACTGTATCTACACGGGTGGAACAGATCAACAAACGTGGAGCTAGTCAGTGGCTCCTCCAGACAGACCTGAGGCAGCAGCTTACACTGGAAATATCTAGTATGGAATGCTTGCAGGGTGTTCTCAGTTGACACTGGGTCAGATTACATTGTCAGTGTTACCACTGTGTTTTGAGATCTAGTTTTATTTCCTTCAAAGCAGTGAAAGGTGCATCACATATTCCTGCTAATGCTATGGTATGTGAGTTATTTT